GAGAGAGAGAGAGAGAGAGAGAGAGAGAGAGAAACAGAGACAGAGACAGAGACAGAGAGAGAGAGAGAGAGGGAGAAGCCCGGTAAACCTAGCCTCGCTGATCTACATCGGAAGCGTGAACTACTTTCTCTCGCATGCGTGAATCTACCACCGCGCAAATCAACGGTCTATGTAGGCGTATATCATGTTCTTGCCCATGTTATCGATGATAAACAAAATTTGAAGGCAGATCACAGCTCCCGTGGCTGTTCCGGGCAACCAACCTTCTAACGGCGCCTCCTGTAGTACGCTCAGCGGTGCATCGTTTAAGTCGTGAGAGCGTTTTCAGTCACGGCATGCCAGGGGGGCAAGGTCGGTACTCTCTGCATTGGGTGCTTCGGGTCGAAGGAGCAGTTTCGGAAACGGTTCAAACAAGTTCGCTGCATTTTTGTCGAGAGAGTTTCAAGTCGCTCTAGGGTTAATGGAATGAATATTGACTGCCGGGAGGCAGCAATAAGGGCGCTGAAAGCCCCGCGCGCCTGGGGCTTCTGTCGCTGTTCATTCCAAATAGCGCGGAACTCCTAAACCTTGCTATTCTCAGTAGTATGTTGAGTAGGGTTGACGGGGTTGTTTCCTTTTCCAAACAAACTCCAACCCCTACAAGCAGCGTACCAAGTAGATGACACAGCGAGGTACTTGCCCACATAGGAATGAACCACCACAACTATTATTTGCACCTGACCCCCCTTGTACACCTCAGAAGAACATAGACAATTCCCCTCCTCCCGTCTAACTCGCTCTCTCCCCAGAAGAGACAGGGATGGAGCTTGTCTCCCCTTGGAGAGCTGGCACGTGTTAGCGTCGTGGGCGGCCTGTGTGATGATTGATGCCTGTGCTTACGCCACCACATCGGAACCGGATAAAATAGACCCACGGACAGGGAAGCCGCTTGGCAAAAGGGGGGCACGACAACGAGGGGCTAGCGTGGCGGACGAGGCAACAGGGACGGCGCCAAGAGATGCGGTGACCCTGCATGTGCGGTAACTTCCATGCAAGATTTTTGTATTGTACTCCCTTTCCGGAGAGTGAAGGACAGGACACCCTGACCAAGTTCTTAATTGTACCACCGAAACCCAGGGGTAGTATTCTTTTGGGTTTACTTGTCAGTCCCAAGAACGTCCTCCCTATTTTCCGAGCCTTCCCTCGAGAATTGCTCAATTGTCCAATGTTAGTTGATTTGATGTGCGGGCTGGGTCCACGTCACTACGTTTTTGAGCGTGCGAAGCTTATCTGCAGTATATTGCAGGACTGTCATGAAAGGCGAAGACGAATGAGTGCCAATGGAGCATGCACTACCGCTCCTCGAACGTCGATCCGGTAACAACTTGCAACTCCCAGTATGGTCATGTAGACCATGTGATAGACCTTGCAAACGAGGGATATCGATTTCATGGAGGAGGTTATGAATACCGAAAGTTCCGCCCATATTTCTGCGGGTTTCGGATCATACAATCGTGAAGAATCAGAACCGGCACAGGAGTTCTTGGGTACTATATCCACTTTTGCGCTACGCTTCTGCACCGATTGTTTGTTGTCATAATCGGTCCAGTGTGTTCCCTGAAGAATTGCCTTCCATTTCGATTGTCTGCGATGAAGCTGGAAAACGTACGAGCAACAACACCAGCGGGCCCCTTGAAAGCCCTTCTGTGTTCACTAATCTAGTGTGCACAGCTGTCAACATGCTCACAAAGCGGCCCACAAGGAGTGTTCCTTGACAAAAAAAATCTGTTCCTGGACCACCCTAACGCGCGTGTTGTCGCCCCTCTTTCGGCTAAAGGAGCCGCGTTTGTGGCCCTGCGGAAGACGACGACAATCATGTTTCCTGAGGGGGGAGAAGCTGCTCACAGTTATGGTTTCGTCGTCTTTCGGTGGTGAGGTGTTGGCGTGGTGGCGTCGGCTGTCCCCTTGTGTCCATTGGGCTGGGTTCAACTCTCACACCGACCACTCATTTCCGCCGCAGAATGACCTAACCTTTCGTTTGTACTGCAATGGGTACGACCATCATTCCTGGGGTGACTTGAACACGAAGATAGCGTTGTCGTGGGCGAGCCTGATAGTTTTTGGTGTCTTCTTACCCAGCGTCAGGTGACCGCGCGTTCTTTGTTGTAAGCGGTTGTCGGCAGGGTCAGGGTTATTGGTGTTCTTTTTCTCTTGGGGAGAAACTGGAGTAGTCTCGACATAGAAGCGATATTCGTTCTTGATCGAAAACCGAGGAAGGCGCTTGCCCTTGACAACATATCGAAAAATGAAGTGATACCATTCACTTGCATTTTACAGTCCCGCAAAAGTCGGGCGTAGTGGAGGAAGAAAATATGTTTGAACCATCCCTGCGTTCATTCGTGGTCTTATACATATGTGCGTGAGCAACCGCCCCACCATTGCTCAGCACCGAAACGTTCCACAAGTCGAAGCACCCCATGCCGACGCAAGAGGCCTCACCGCATGAATTCCAGTACCTAAATGAAAGGATTCAGGTATGAGACAAACAATATCATTTTCAGGAACTGCCGAAGCGGTACTCGAGCTGGCATGCTTTTGCGGTGATCAAGCTTGGGTTCCGCATGAGCGTTGTAGTTTTCAGTGATTGGTTTTTCGACATGCTGAGGCTCCAAGGTTCCAAGGTCAATAGAACACCCACATTTTGTGATGACCAGTTCAGCACCCCAGCTCCGCCTATTGAAAACCTATATGCAGCCGATTGGCCAGAGGCTTGGGCTAAAGAGGGCGTTGTAGAGCGGTTGCATTGTGATTTGTATCGTCTCTGATTACTGTTTAGGCGGGTGATTTGGTGTCGTTCCGACGGCTTTCCTGCTGCTGCTTATGACGAAGACTGTCAGTCGTGTTGTTCGGAGAGCAAACGAAATCGTAGGGTTTCCAGAACCTTGAGGTTTTCGCGAGCGGCCGCGTTTTTGGCGTGTGCACCGCCTGTTTGTAAATCAGAATCGTCCTACAGTTCCTGTTGCCATGTCCGCGGTGTTCGGCGTTTGGTGGCATCACTGTATCACTTTTCGGCGTGTTACCGTCCATCTGTGCCATATTGGTTTGAAGCCTGTTTGGTGCGACGCGGGACACGTTGCCTCACGCAATTCAAGCGACACTCGGGCCAGCAGGCATGAAGTCAATCCCGCTATATCGGGTACGCACACATGTCGAGAGCACCGACCAGACGAAATGTTTGGGTCCCCGTAACTACCATTCGTGCCTTCTTTCTCGACAGGTGTTTATTTCGCGTTGCTGTGGAGGCAGCCGAATTTGACCATGGGGCAGGAGGAAAGGCTATTGTTGCTGCTCGTCGTCATGAACGCTTCCCTGCTTTTGAGCACGTCAGTATATATATATGTTGTCATGGCGTGCCCAGCCCAACATGTGTTGTTGTCTGAGCCTTTGGTAGCGCAATGTTGCAGCTTAACCTAGTCTCATATCCCCTTGATTTCTCCAGCATCTGCTTTTCGAATCTTGAGCAGGAGTTGGTCCAGCTCCTTCGATGTGCTCAAACGAGTCCGTGATCGTTGTACACATGTTTATTGCTTTACCTCAGCTCAGATGGTCTACCTCGCTCGGTTCGGGAACGGTGCTCATGGCGAAGCTCTCCTCAAGCCGATTCCTACATAGTTTCCTGACCCTGGTACTTCCTTTATTCTATCGGAGAGCTGAACCTCGAAACAAAGAACGTGCGAGCCCTCCGCACGACGAAACATGTCTTCGACAGGCCCACGTGCTGCTTGACGTGCATATGGTAAAATCAGATTCTGACCAGATACCCATCTCGTTTCCTTTCGGCCTGCTCGTGTGTACGTCTACGCCCGATTGGTCGAAATTTGAACCCTCAACATATTGTTCGTCCAAAATGATTTGCAGGTTCTGGCTGAGCACTAGAGATTGGATGAGCAGAAGGCCCATCGGCGTCGCAGATTTTACCAAGGTAATGTTGTTGTTGTTGTTGTTGTTGTTGTTGTTGTTGTTGTTGTTGTTGTTGTTGTTGTTGTTGTTGTTGTTGTTGTTGTTGTTGCTGTTGTTGTCGTTGTTGTTATCGTTCTTGTTCGTGTCATTGTAGTCGTGGTAGTTGTCGTAATATATAGGACTGTGCTAGGGCTCCCACCAGGGCCAGATCGTTAAGCTGTGGTGCAGCTTCCGAATGTTTAAGAGAAAAAAGACTGTTCTGAACTATTGAAGCTTGGAATCTTGGAAGCTTGTATTTGCCGAAGGAAGGCTCGCCAAGGTTTCAACCGCCTGGAGCCTACCCCGTGGTTCCAAGCTTGTAGTTGATATGATAACAGCTTTAGCGAAGACGCCGATAAGACCCGTTCGAGTTTTGTTTGAGGGGCTGAAACAAAGCTGCCACAAAAACCAAAAAGCGAAATAGCGAAACCGAGAAAGACAGCGCCAAAGCCTGAAGCTTTCAAAGATCATGTGTTTCACGTTTGTTGGCTACCCGCCGCCGTTGACTGTCCACGCTTTTAGTCTAGCTACTGAATACCACCAAGGCTGCCAAAAAGCACTCGACTGTAGTGGGGGCGGGAATTTCTCCATGATGATCGTGTACACAACTAGGGCCGTCGAGGACAACTGTGACGAATATCCCAACAAGTATCGAACAGCAACCTCGAGGAGAAACACGGTTGCCCCGGAAGGTTGAAAATATGGTGTGGCTACTTCGAATAAGTTGGAAAAGTTGCTGTCGTGACGCCGTGGACAAATACAATGCCAGACAATGTTCGAAGTGGGTTTGATCAAAGACGCCTCCGCTTCAGCAACTTTTTCTGCGGAGGTTCGAGTGCGACTTCGTGATTGATCCCTATTTATAATGGTACAGTGCTCGGGTCTCAAAAGGGTCTGATCGCGTCTCAAAAGGGTCAAAACAACGTCGGAAATCGCTCTTTCCTTCGTCGGTCGACCCTAAAATATTGGCACAGCCTCACTCTAACCGCACGACGTTAATCCCCTTCTCAATGACCGAACAGCTGCAGAAGAAGTGGGGCAGTACCAAGAACATCATGGGCAACGCCAACGTGGCGGCGAAGTTCCGCGAGGCCGCCAAGGCACACTTCTGCGAGGAGCTGTACAAGGTACTCACTGAGGCACACTTGTATGAGACGCTTGTGTGAGACGCTAAGTTGCATTTGCTAGTAGTCTAGTGCCTAGAGGCATTTAGATGTTTACTTGTATGTGACGCTATTAGTGCCTATAGGTAGAGTATTTGGATACTCAAAGACTCGGATCAAATCCCGGCGTACAACCCGGAGCACGGAGTGGAGAGTCTCATGCGTCCCGTTCCTCTTCTGGACTACAGGGGTTATCCTGAAGAGTCTTAACGCTTGCCAGAATCACACTCCGACCCACAGTTTGTCTACGCCCTTCTGCCTGGCATCCGGGAGTATCTGCAAAAACGCCTTGGACATGGATGCCGGCGAGGTAACGACCGTGACATCTGGATTACGATATGGCCGCTACGTGGTACCATTCCTGACCATCACCTTCGCGAATACGTGTGGTTTTCCCTTTCCGGTTCCCTTGCCGTCGCTTTTTCGTCCACTTGATGATGACAACAATCACACCGCAGTTTTTGGCAGCTTTTCAGCAGTTTGAAAGCATGAACATTGATGAGGCTGGAGATCGTGGCGCCGGAAGCAGCGGTGATTCCCCAGCCAGTTGTAGCTCAGTACACTCTCACGTAAATTCACGACGCTTTCGACCAAGCATTTTTTCACTTCGAGCGGAGCAACCATCGCAGCAACTGCAACCGGTTGAGCAGCACTGCGCCTACCAGGTGCGGGGAGCTCCGTGTCTTTAGACCGTGCCGCCTATTGGTCGAACCTCGTTCAACTGTAGGCATCGAGAATTGCACGCAACACCGTTCAGCGGCGAGAGACAGGACCACCCAAAGGTCGATAGAGGTTGCCAATCAGCGTTGAAACGTGTCATATGCCAATAGTGTTGAACTGCTTTACGTGGGTGCCGGCACCGATAGAACCCGTAGCGCTTAGAACGGAGCAGTAATTCCTAAGCAATAACTTGTAGGTTTTCAGGTGCGCCTTCGGCACAGTCCGAACGAAAATACACATGTGGCAAGGTCGAGAGTGTCTCCCCGATCGTGGGCTCGAGGGGATTCATTCTGATCCCAAAACAAACGGAGGAATTGGGGCGAGGGGCAACATTCACGTACGTGTATCGCCCGATCCCCTTCACCAGAAGATTCAGGCAGCACGACGGGCCAAAAATGGGGGCGATTGAAACGGGCGGTCTATCATTCAATATGCTCTTCCTGTTTCTGTCACAGTTCACACGGTGTTTGCTTAGACTATGCTGGTAGAAACGAAGCACTTTGGTGGAAGACGCCTGTCGCGTCGGGGACTTCTCGTGTGACCAAGAATGGTCCATTTCCAGCGTGCGATCGATCCCGCGAAACACGTTGCTTTGGGTTTCTATCATCTGCAGTACCTGCTCGACTGCTGATACGCTGTATATGTAGGTTCCGCGGTACTCCGAGTACTTGGGCATGCTCGGAGAATTTTTCACCCCGGGCTGTCGGCACGAGGTCAACGTCAGCAGCGAGACAAGATGTCAGGTTGCCCAGGCACGTATGTCTGTTTATCGTCTCTGACTCGACGCAGGCGGGAAAACGCCCCCCATCTGATCAACAACGGGACTCGCAACAACACGCCTTTGAAATTCATGGCCTGGTGCGAACGCGTACAACGCATCACGCGTCTTGCTCCGCGCGTACATATGCTCCAGCCTCTGGTAGCACTGTGGGCCCGCCGCAAACGGTTCAATAAGTCCCGCCCGCGGTAAAGCTGGTGTACAGAGCGCTGATTTGCGGGGGCAAAACCACTCCGAACATCTTCTACTATCAGTAATCCAGATAGACAGGACGTAACTGTTCTTACCCCCTCACCTCGGTGATTGGACGCATATTACGCGTGCCCGAATGCTGCAGCTCCGGTGTTTTTGTGACTGGGTGGCTAGCTCGGAAAGCGACAAGCGCAACCTCTTTACGAAGGCTGTACGTGAGGTGAGCTGAAACATTGTTGCTGGTTGTGTTGTTGTTGTTGTTGGTATCCCCGCCATCGCGGTTGGTTGTCGTGGCGAAAACTTTCTGGTGTTCTTCATATAGGAGGATCGCATGTCGTTTGTCAATCCGCAACTTGCTTTAAGCTAGGGAGTTTGTCGTCGCCCATGCTCATCAAGTTTAGCTTGAATATACGCCATCATGACTTGGAGCGATCCGGTTTTCACAACATGTTCTCCATGCAATCAGAATGTTGACGTGCGTACTCGGCCGATCTTCATTAAGCAACAAACCCGTCTGCGTTGCGGCTCGGCACTTTGAAGCACTACACCATCCTCACACAGGTCCACTGAACTGTGGTCATTGCCGTTCCAGGACGAAGAAAAATCAATGTTGGAAACTCCCGTCGCCGAGAAACCTCAACAGCACATGATCTTTATCGTCGCTCGCATGCGATGCCTACCAGAGACGTATGCGCTTGCTCAAAACAAATATGAATCTAACTTCACACAGAAATGGATCCTTATGACAGAACCGGCCTCCAAGTTTCCTGCTGGAGAACTTGTTCGGAACCTGCGGCAATTCACGAGTGTTGATCAGACGGGCCCACTTGTGCCTAACACCCCTCGGAACACTAGAAAAGACTTTCGCGCTGTGCATGACAAATTTCAGGTCCCTTCGCTTAACCAGGTGCGCATGATGCTGGACCAGAACGTCATGGGGTCGTTTATACACTCCCCGTCTTTCGCTGGCGTAGCTCGAGATCTCATGAAGGTCAAATCCGCACAGGACGAGATTTCTACCGACGAAGAGAACAAGGTTTGCATACTCGCACACCCTAGTGTCCTCAATTGCAGCAACTGCTTTCAGGCTGTGATCTACGCATTGTGCTCAACTGAGAGCTCGTTCTGTGAGGAGCAGGGGGGTATTCTCCACACAAACGAGCCCATTCCAACTGTGGGATGACGAGATTCTAATGTGCGTCATGTTCAACGTCACAAAACAGGCTACAAATATTTGGGAGGTATATCGCCGAAACGTGTGGATAAATTGCTGCTGTGACCGGCGTGTATTCCTCGAAAATGGAGCACTCTCAGAAACATGGCATTTTTTTTGGAGATGAAACTCCCCCCCGTACCAGCACCTGCCTTTGTACCGTCCATATTGTACGAATGCTTTGAGCCGTTTCGTGTTGTACACGCCAGCCTCGATGGTTGTTGAAAAAGTAAAACGCCGCTCACTGTAATCATTATTTGTACGCGCGCCCCCTTGATCGTGGCAACCTTTACATTGTCGCTGCCGATTGGTCCCGTGGGGCCACCTAGCCGTTGGCTGCCAGGAAGAGAATGAAGAGCGGAATCCAGGCCATCACATTAGCCAATAGCGTGACGAGGACATGGGCGTCCACGTTATCTGAACGAAGCGACGCGGACGAAGGTAACGCCTACTCGAATAACGACAACGTGCCACTGCACCCGTCCGGACCGTTGTTGCAAGCACCATATCCTTCTCCGGGGAATCCTTGCAAGTTGTATCTCGTCCATCAATGTACAACGACTGTAGTAGTGATGTATTGGCGTTCACATCTTGCACCAAAAAGTACCGAGTTTTCCGAACGAGTACTCCGCCCGAGAGAGAAAAAAACCTAGGGACAAATCTCACCCGTCATCAAACATGCATACGCTGGACCTTGGCGTCGCCAGCAACGGCATGCGAAGGTAGCTGAAAACCACTTAGTAACAAAGCACCAAATAGTTATCTTCAACACCGGCGGCGTCCAAATGCAATGAAATACTTCGATAAGCATAGGTTTTCTTGTCTTCCGAGTTTACGTCGGCGGTTTTGGATTCTGTTTCGGTGTTCCTCTGATGTCTTGAAGTATCACTTCTTTCAAGTGTATTCATGCACACAAATGGAGATATCCACCCCTTTCCCTCAGCATTGAACGCCATCCAACGGCAAAACCATACCACTCCCGCTCTCCCGACCAAGTACAGTCATCCAGGATCGAGGATTGTAGAGACAGTGCTTTCTTCGCTGTTTCTTCCAAAATGTATGTAAGTAGGTCTAGAATAATACCTTCAGAAATGGGTGCATGCGACATGGGACTGCGTAGGCCAAACACGGTGATGCTGCTGCATGGTGAGGTCGTTGTACGTTGACTAACTGTCATGTGCGGCTGCAGAAATGCAACGATGGCATGCACATGTTCTGACGCAGAACACAGAAGCTATCCCGCAGAGACTGCATTCTCGTTTCCAAGACTGAGGTGAGAGGAGACGATAGCGGAACATCAACATTTCTCTCCAGATGTAGCGCTGCAGAGAGTCGCAACGCATGGTAATTTTTCAAAGCACCGTCTTCACCTTCTTTTTATTCACTTTGCAGCATATGTTCCCGCCGTTTGTTGTACCCCGGTAGGAGCGAGGGGCGGAGGTGCCGACACCCTGGACAACCCATCCACTTCAACCTCTGGTGCAGGTAGTGCCCCGATAATTCCGCTTCGCCTACGGTCAGTCACGATTGGAGCTCTTGCAGCGGGACGTGTTACCACGGCTGGAGGTATAACTGTTGGGGTTCGGTCGATTGCTAGTCCACTAAGAGTGGCTCGAATTATGCTCTTGGCGTGGTAATAATTCTGTGTAGTGTTTCCTGCCTTGTTGTTTGCCTTCGTTTGAAGTCTCCGAGAGCTGACGAGCGATGAACAACGATGACGGCTATGCACGCAGCAACGAACTTCAGGCAACCGGGTCTGAATGATACGGATGTTCCTGACGACCCTCGCAATAAGCAATCACGGCTAGGGTGGGAGCGATAGGAAATAAAAGATCTTTGATGGGGAATAAGGCAGTGCACATGGACGACAGCTCTTGGATATCATTAACTAACGCTGATGCATACCCTTCTCTCACTGGAAACCGCGATGATGTCTCGCGTTGCCGAAAGTGGGATATTTTCGCCACCTTTCGAGGCAACCGAGCTGGGGCGTTTCACATTTTTTAGCGTTTGCACCGAGAAACACGGAAAGCAGAGAACGTAGACGATTCCCTCTGCCTCGTAGACGATTCCCTCTGCCGAGAGGCAGCACCAGGGAGGGTCAGGGAAAAGGTTTTCCCCTCAAGGTAATCTGCAACTCAGGCGCAATGAAACAACTTTCGGGCCGTTTAGCGTGAGAGAAGGAACAACTTTGAACTATGCCGTACGTGTTAAGTCTCGTTGAACTATGCCGTACTTGTCAGGTCTCCTTTCGCAGAGGTATCTACTATCTCGTCCCTTCGTGCCATCTGCGTGGATATGAAATGCCATTTCCCGCTGCTCAAACTATTTCTGCATCCGTTCGTCTGCCTCGGTACAATAGAAGCCGAAGGCAGCTTTCTCACTTGGCTTCCAACATCGCATAAATTTATTTGTTCGAACAAAAATCACCTGGACTGTTTTTTGTGTTCTACGTTTGTAATGCGATTGAACACACACATGCGTAGGAACGCACAACCATTGTACATACCAAACATGTGTGTTTTTCGTATCTCAAGAAAGCAGCATACGACCATGTTCACCGTGTTCACGCCACTCTTCAAACAGAAACAGCAGAGAACGAAGGGTCACTCCAAGGCTCGACACAACCGCTGGAGGCGGCTCTGGTTGTTTCAACAGCACCACTGTCGACTTCAGCACCATCTCCAGGGTCTTCATCAAGAACAGAACCCCGGAGGCCACTCAGCTTTCGCACTGCGGCGCATGCCGCGCTGGCTACGTCAACGCGAAGCCCATCGGCTCGTGTCGCCGTTAGCCCACCCCCATCATCCGTTCAACCAGAACGTGAAGCTTAAACCAGCTTATTGCAAAGACACACCTTTGTTGTAGGATACGGAAAAGAGAGAATGTTGAGAGCTGAAAGAACAACTTTCAGGGGGAGGCGTCCTACTTAAGAACGGGCTTAGAGCGAGGTAAAGTCTCAGCAATAGATTCTTCGAGGAGTAACGACTAAAATAAACTGTACTGTAGAATACTTCCACCACAACATTTGAGTGTGTGCCTCGTAACATGGGTGCCTCATCAATAGGAAAAATAAATGATGGTAAGTTGGCTGCCGAGGTGTCATCCAACCGCGTGCATGGTAAATGATGGTACATTTAGGGGAGTTCCCCTATAGGGTGGAAACTTCCGGTAGGCGGCCGTTTTTCCGGTAGCGGTGTGTTTTTACGGTTAAGGCGATTATGCCGCACTTCTAACCGGAAACTGGGAACATGGGCACCGAAACTTCTGGTTTGGGGACAGCATTTTGTTGGTCAGGCTCTCCAAATATCTGTAGGATGAAGGTAGCGGAGGGACGAACCGACATGATTGCCAACAGCACACCACCAAGGCGAATCTACAGGAGGCCAGGACCATATTGCCAACCGCCAAAAAAGTACCGGCATATCCACTACCGGCAAAAATATACAGGGTTGTTGTTGTTGTTGTTGTTGTTTCTCACATTAG